AGCAAAAAAGACCTATGAACAAGTAATTGCAGCTATCCACCAAGCAGCATCAGAAGCACTGGGTCAGAAAGAAGAGGAAAAACAGAACAAGCTGCTAACATGGAACACTACCCTACAAGAGCTTAAAGAACAAAAGCAAGAAGCATACCATAGATGGTTGAGTTCAAAAGATCCAATCCATAAGAACTCTTATAGAACACTACAGCAGAAATTTAAAAAACGTGCTTAAAACAAACAAAAATGAGACATGGGAAAGGAGGTGTGCAGAGGTAGACAGGTATCTAGGAAGTTCGAGGTCAAAAAAAGCATGGCATCTAATAAAATCACTGCGAAGGGAAAGTACAGCCAATAAATACATACCGCTGATTAAAATGGAGCAATGGCAAGACCACTACAGCAGGGAACTATTAGAAACCAGACCACAAAACCCCGCATTTGACACAAGCCACTACGAAATAAAAGGACCATTTGTCACAATAACACCTGACATGCTATGGAAAGCGCTGCGAACATCAAAAAGCGGTAACGCGTCTGGCCCTGACAATATACCAATCGAACTCTTGAAGCATGGTCCACAGTTATTGATAGAAATCATGGCAGAACTAATCCAAAGCTTTATGAATGGACAGGAGATACCAGACCAATGGAAAACAGGTTGGATCACACCAATCCATAAAAAAGGGTCAAACGCGAACTGCAATAACTACAGGTGCATCACGGTAACCAGCGCAATAAGCAGACTGTACGGCAGAGTACTGAAAGCACTAATCGAGAGCGAATATGCTCCTATTCAAATGGAAGAGCAAGCAGGTTTCAGAGCTGGAAGAAGCTGTGTGGACAACATGTTCTGCATAACGCAAATCGCCGAAAAGATCGCGGCTACACACGGGAAACTCCATCTAACATTCGTCGACCTAACGAAAGCCTATGACCATGTCCCAATAGATAGACTGTGGTACGTGTTAGCAAGTACACCAATCAATGCCACTTTAATAAACGCCGTTAAACAACTATACACGAACACAACAGCCTGCGTGAAGTATTGCGGCGCAATATCAGATGCTTTCCCAACAACAAAAGGCCTAAGACAGGGGTGTGCAATATCTCCAACACTTTTCAACATATATTTGCAGGAAGCTCTAAAAGAATGGAGGAAAAAATGCAAAAACATGGGTATCCCACTGAATGAAACCACACTGTACACCCTCCATTTTGCGGACGATCAAGTGGTCCTGTCTCAAGATGCAGAGGATATGGAATACATGACACGCAAACTTATAGAGCAATACCAAGAGTGGGGACTAACAGTAAACATGGAGAAAACGCAATATATGGTCATAGGTGAAGAGGGTAAAGACCTCCAACTAAACAACGGTATGGTGATAAAGAAAGCTTGCAGGGGTACACACATACCTCAGATTAAAAAATCCACATATCTGGTCAGATAGTTGGGGAAATTCAAAACAGAGAATCACAAAGGACAACGACAATAGGCGCATTAAACGGCATACTCTGGTCAAAGGCAGCGGTGGCAAAAGCAAAAGGAGGCAGATTATACAGCTCAATATTCAAAAGCATTATTCTATACGGCTGCGAAACATGTCAAAATCAACAAGACCAAGAAGCAAAGCTTAACACCATTGCAATGGACTTCTTAAGAAGATCAGCTCGTATATCGAGAATGGATAAGATACGCAACGACCGCATCAGAGATATAATGATGATAGAAGCTTCGTTTATAAGAGGGACATACAACAAAAACAACTATATTTGGTTTCGGGCATATAAAACCGGATGCAAGAAACTCGCCTGCCTATCAAATCCTACACTGGCAACCATACGAAGAGGAAGCGCGGCGGACGGGGCGGCTTTGGGAATCGGGCATCAACAAAGCGATGTCAGAAAGGAACCTACAACTTGGAGACTGGACGGACAGGAGAGGATGGAAACTTGGTACCGGAAGGCGGCGAACGCTATAACACCGGCTTATATAATATTATCACCAACCCCTATGTCCTTATAGCCATTTTAGTAATTTAATCATTTTTCACCTCTCGAAGGAAAATTTTATATGCGTAGCCTGAGAATCGGCTACTATCTATTCTTCATACCCCTAAGTGATAAGGGTTGTTCACCCTTAATTTTTTTTTAAATTTTGGACAAAAAATTTTGTTTCTATTTTTTTATAATGTGGCATTAAAAAATACATACAACTCTAAATATTTACTTTTTTATCACCAACCCCTATATTTTTATAGCCATTTTGGCAATTTAATTTTTTTTCATCCCGCTCGAAGGAATGAGACCGAAGTCGGTCTCCTGTTTCGCTCACACAATAAGACTTCTCTCACTCCCTACACAATTTTCGGCCATCATTATGGTATATGTATCAAGTGTAGTAGTAACGTTTACAATTATCATATTGCTATCTCAGTGTAACTCTCATATTAACTATTAATTATTACTGTTTTATTCATAGCTAGCGGACCCAACAGACTTCGTTCTGTTAAAAATGTGGGAGAAAAAAAAATGTGGCAGGTTTTGTTCTTCCCTATTTTAGAATCGGTGCAAAAAATTCTCCTGAACAGAACCGTCACCCCGTTGACAAGGCGCTTTCACGAACTTTCGCCACCTTTTCAAGAAAAAATTGTATTAGTAGGACCCACTAAAACACCCCGAATTGTGTCACATGCAATACTTAGTGATCGTAGATAATTAACCACTTTGCACAAAAAACGAAATGAAACAAACAAACAAAAATGAATCAAAGAAAACTGCGGAATTTGTTTCGTTTGTCAGTGGACAAAAGAAAACTCAGTAGAAAACACTTTGCGCAAAACTCCATATAAAACAATAAATCAAAAATAAATCGAAGAAGGCTGCGGAATTTGTTTCGTTAATCAATTGAAAAAAGGAAACCTCAGCTTTTCCCCATTTTACCGGTAATAATTCAAATTTTTGTCGCCGAAAAAACCACCCTTAGACTTTAACAAACATATTAAAAGAAAAATTACCTAAATTGGTCTAGGCGTTGGTGAGTGAAGCGGTTACCAACACATTTTGCGATTCATTTTTATATTTTAGATAATAAAATTATTATTTTTATGTGTATTTGGTTCGATTAGTTTAGTTAATCAAGTTTTACATACTTACACATTTATAATATGTAAGTTACTGTTTGTCTATACTAGAATTTATCTAGAACTTAAAAATAATTTATATGGCAAAACAAAGTTTGCCGGGTTAACTAGTAAATATATATAAATTCCACTCCATGTACATTTCCATTTTGCATCACCATCATCACTACCACCATTTAAATAAAAAAAAATTAATTGTCACTTGCTGGACGTAATTTTTTTCAATTAATTGCTTCATCAAATATTTATTTGCAATGTAGTTGTACCAATGTGATTGTTTTCTTCAACATCATTTAAATACAAATTTGCAATGTCAAACAATTGCAGTTTGTCGTATACAAATAGAACTAGTATAAACAAAACTAGCACATACATCTAGTTCACCGAAAGAATGAACTAGTATAGATGCTGTGGACGAGTGCTTAATCACCCGAAGTAATTGTTGAAATGAAATAATATTCCGTGGATATATTTGTGGATCCTCCTTATACCAATTTGTAAAGTGAAAGAAACATATACTAACTACAATATCATTTTGCTGAACTTGAATATAGTGTATCTCGTAACTTTGAAATACGTATAAATTCAAAGCTGTTAATTTTATATTTGATAGATACATATTCATATAACCTATAATTCGGCCAGTATTTTAGAAGCTTATCCTTAAATAAAAAAATATTTTAACTCAATAAATTATTTGTTGTATGCATACATTGCAGATATCATCCATATCTCGCAAGAGCACAATAAGTACTTTTTTCATCGCTAGCGAATCATCTTCCAAAACTGGTAGTGCATCGGTTATGTGTCACAAAATATACGCTTTGTCACATAAAGGACTCTTTTAAATTAAAAATTCGATAAAACTATAAGCACAAGCTATTCCAGTAAATGAATAAAAAAAAAAAAAAAACTTCTTACAGCTATGCATGTTGCATCTAAATAGTCTGATTTACTTTACATGATGTAATTTACAGCGTTTCTTGGTTTAATGCAACGATCTTATTATACTCCGTTGTCAACTCAAAAATTCATTTGCAACGCTTTTCACATATTCGTGAAATTATCTACAGCTACCAATCGAGCACCTGTCATCATTAGCAATGGATCTATGTAAAGTAGTGGGTGTATCACTACTGAGCTAAATCCGTTGAAAGCATGGTAATAAAGAATCAAGAATTGCGTGTTTGTTTCCGCGGTTTCCGTTTGTTTTCCATACCCATAAACCAATTATATAAAAAAAATTATTATTATTATTGATGTTGAAACTAGCCAAACCATATATTCCGTGGAAATTTATTTTTCCATTTGCTGTCAATAGCAGGCTTTAAATTTAAGTTTACTCAAAATTGACAAACAAAATGGCCTGTCAAACAAAAGTTACAGAAACTGAATCTTTAAATTAACTGGTTTCATAGAGACAAATGCCAGATAGCGTTTTTTGGTTTACATTGAAATTGCGTCTGAAATAATAATAAAATAAATATGACAATATTGTTGAGTATACGAGTAAATACATATTAAACACAACGAGGGTTTCCAGAGGATGCCATGATATTATTTCAATTGTGAAATGTGACCTACCTTTTATAAGTGTGTATGGTATATTTTCCGGTTTTGATAAGTATTTTCAAGCACTTACTAACTATGATTTCCTGAAACCCAGGTAGCAACGGCCTGTTTTATTAGATTTTGCCATTCCAATTGAGAATCGAAATTTGTCCCATTTTGCAAACCAAATTCAGTGGAGGTTGAGGAACTATTGAAGAAGTGACGAATTAACAAATTACTTTTTTATATTTACAAACAAATTAATTTTTAACGATGTGGTTTCATTTAAAACAATCTCCAATCCACAGTGAGATATATTCTGATTACGCGCAGTAATTGATATAATGTAGTTCTTGTCTGTCGTAAGATTAGTTAATGTAGTGCAATAAATATTTGGCCATACTTTACATGGATTCAAAGAATCATAATTGGTTTGTACCGTGCTATGTCTTCCTAAAATGTAATAATATTTTATTGCAAATGAATCCAGTATTCCAGTTGGTGGATAAGGTGGACTCCATCTCAATGATAAACTTGTTTCAGATAAGCTATACACTTCCGCGAATGGTATTTGTTTTGGTACTAAAATCAACATCAAATACAAAAGTGACATATTTTGAAGCTAAGTCAAAGTGAACACACCTCTTGATGATGTCATCACAGCAGTTGACAAAAATTTGATAGAATTATTAATTGCGTCCAGTTTATTCCGAAATATATTTACTTCTAATTTGTAATTTGTATATGGAAGTAAATTTTCAATTGTAGCAATGTCATTGTATTGCATGTATTGAGTCCCATTCACCTCTTCTCCATCACACCACTCACTCTTGCAGCTAGCATATGCATTCAGATAGATTGGGCCATTCCAATTTTCACACTCGACAATTAAACCTATTAGTATCAAAGTTTCCAAAGAAGTAATTTTATAATTAAAAGAATTTATGTCAATTGTTTTAGTTGCATCTGTGTATCCTATAACAGTCTCAAGGTCTCCTTGACCTTTCTTGGCAACTGCTGATATTGATATATTATAAATTGAATATGGTTGTAGATCATCTAATTCCATTGCAGTTATTGTCACATTTTTGAATTGGATATTTGATGTGTTATTTGTATTCCTATCATGGAATATGGAACTGAAATTATAATTTGACAATTAGGGACACTTTTAGATTAGTTTATGGGCCAGTTACCATCCATGTGACCACATAATAGGTAATGATTCCCAAAGCAGGGGAAGGTGCTTCCCAGGCAACACTAAGTTTACTAGGTGTTGAAGTAATAACTTGTAAATTTCTAACTTTGTTTGGAACTAAAACAAAAGGTTTTACTAAAAAAGCAAATTAACGTATATTTTATTTTACCTGATTCATCTGTGGTAAACATAATATTATGTGTTATTTTGTTATTTTTAGTCAATTGAAGCGTATAATTAGTAAATATTTTCAATGATGTTACAAAATTATTCAATTTTAACTGTCTCGAAGATACTATTACCTTAGCTTCATTGATAATCAACATGTTATAACTGTTATATAAACAATTTATTTGGGAATTGTAAGATGTAACATTTATTGTCGAATTCGTGTTGAAACTCTCAATCAAAATTTGGTCCTTGTGCAATCCTAAAAGAAATAATACAGTGTTGCATATATTTTAATGACTTGAAATACCTTCGCATGTTGTCTTAAATTGAAATTTTGTCAAATCTTCATTGTAGCAAGTTGATTTCTGATCTGTTACACATAAAATTATTTGATAATTGTATTTCACCTCTTTAATTAAATTAGCAAATTTAATAATGTTGATTTTAATTGGTGTTAATTTTCCTTCTAAAATTGTTCTGTTAGGCTGCAATAATCGAGTGTAATAATATTTTGGTGCTTGGGCCCCATCATATTTTAATTCTTTTTCGTAGATTGAAATTGTGCAATTTGTGATACAATCAGTTTGAACTGATGCAACTCTAGTCAACACTGGTAGATTTCTTTGTTTACAGAAGGGTGCAATATATTTTAAATTATTACAACCAAAGTAACATTCACCATTTACAGGATTGCAAAAGTTCGAATTGCAATTTGTGCATGCACAAGCACAATTGCAGCCATATTTTCCTCTTTCGCATGCTGAAACCCATGATAATTATTATTGTTGGACATTATATTTTATTGTAGTACTTACTTTTATCACAATATTTGCCTGTGTATCCCATTGAACAGTGACATGATTCCTCATTACACGTTATTTTGTGTGGGCATTCTGTTGTATTGTAGAATTCACTACATGTATTACACTGATTCTGATTATTATTCAGACAAACATCAGAAGTATTATTTGGTAATGAAATTTTAAATTGCGTGGTTTTGTGTCGAAGCGATGAACATTTAATATTATTTGTTGCATTAAAGTTGTACTCTATTGATGAGAAATGGAAGTTCGATTTGCTTCGATTGCAGTCTAGATGACGAACGATTTTTCGAATTGCTATTTTGTCATTAGGACTAAACGAAATTCGTAAATAATATTCAGCACCTTCATATACGTCAGAGTCAAAAGTTTTATAATTCCATTGTGTGATTTTGTCACTCCGATAGTATTCTGTTTTAATAATCTGTTGTGATACATCATACAATTGTAATGTAATATCGTTTGCAAAATTTGCAAAAAACGAAATACGTAGATGATTAGAATCCACAAAGAACCAATTACTATTAATAAAATTAGTATTTGGTTTGCGAGCTTTATAATATGTGTCTAAAATAATAAAACAAGAATTGCATAAATCATATTACACATTAAAATTTGTTTTCATACATTTATGATATTTCCACATCGCATTTTCGGTATTTGAATGTATGAATAATCTTGTAAAATTGTTAAATTCTCCTGGATCTTTGGCATGGTGGGAGAATAACTGTTCATCATTAATTATTACCTCTAATTGTTGGTTTACATATCGAATAGAAATTTGACTCCATTGGTCAATTGATAACAACGGTTTATGTTCAATCTTAAAATGGTTTATTTCAATATAATCAATCACAATTAATATATTACTTACCTTATTAACGACATTTTCGCATCCTTTCAATCTATCTTCGGAGTTTGTAGGTGATGCCCGTTCCAAGCATCGTCGTATAACACTTCCCATTCCATTCCACCCACCGACAATAAAAATAAAACAAGAACCTCGTTTTATTAATGGCTGTGAACACAAATAAATTTGTGCACTTGATTTTCCCAGAAACGAAAAATTGATTTCAAAACTATTACTGATGTAAATGTTTCCTAATTTTTCAAAGTTATAATTTTGTGTAAGTGGTGCCGACCTAGTCATAATTATTGGGAACACTGAGGGAAATTCATTATTATTATGTTGTAAATTATATTAAGTTAAAATATTACTTTCCCAGGTATAATCCATCACTGGACCAAATTTTGAATTGAATGAAACTTCAATGTCCCACCCATATTTTTGCCAATTAAAATCTACATCGCGCAAGGTCTCATTGGCTACAAAATTTAATTTAAATTGTTGCATGAATATATTTATGTGAGTCAATACCTGAAATCGGTTTAATTAATTTAGTGGGTAGTGGTGTAATCCAAGCAGCTGCATCATTGTAGTCATTATTGACACACGTGGCTTGAATTTTGGCACTTTCTCCTGTTCGAATAATATTTGCAAATAGCAACTGTGTCTTCCCTTGCACCTTACATGAAAGCAGCGCTATGAATAAGAGTAAAATCCACAATTTCATTGTCCAGATTATTTTTTTTATTTCAGCTTGTTTCTATGCGCCTTATATTTTCTATCCGCTTGCACAAAATAAGAAAATAAAAGATTTTAGCGAGTAATAATCTAAAGTACTTCTATATGCGGATTTTTATTATTGTATTAGCTATAAAATATAGAATTTATTTTAGAGAAAAACTTAACAAGATATACCTCGTGGATTTGTGACTGTATTAAATCAATTTAGGAGTACCTTTCATTTACCATACATTTTGAGTTTACTATTTCTCACACTAACGCATAGATAGCAGCCGTTTAAGTAATAGTTATCTAATCATTTTATTTGCACATAAGTGAAAGGAAACGATTTAACACACACAAATATAATGCTGTTCAATAATTCTAATAGAAGCACTGAAAATCTACACAAATGTGTGTTAAATAATTTTGCTGATTGGACACTAATGGTCGAAGTAGTTATCCACATCATCAACAATCCACTAATCCATTACCTGCAATTCAATGTCTATCTGCTTTATCTGCTCTATTCGCTTCGTAATAAGAATTGCCCACTAGGCAAACTTTCTTTTCGCAGTATTCTTCGAATCTCCTATTTACGATGTTGTTAACACAGACTCATCCAAACCTTTTATCTACCTCTTACATCTTTCCTACCACTTTCAATACCTCAGCAGCTCATCGCTAAGGTGACATCGAGTAATTCAGTCTACATTACAAGATAAGACTTAGTCACATGTTACGCTTGTATTTAATAATATTTAAGGTTTCCAGAGATCTAGTTGAGCCTAAGTGAGCGTAATTTTCAAAATCATTTAGAAACAAAGTTGCAACATCAAACAAAGCCCAGAGTTGTCTCTGCAATGAACAATTCGATAGAAAATACATAAACTATCTGAATTTATGTGTAAGTATTTCTTGCTTTATCCACGACAAACTCTCGCCTGTTATTTCGAATATTTCGTACAGTCGTGCACACATCGACATCGTGTTCGGATTCAATATAATCCAGGAAATTACACATTACAATAAGTAAACCGGATGCAGTTGCACCATTTCTGAAATTGCATCTGATAAAAACTAGTCTGGCTAATAATTATTGTATGAAAATACCTGCCCATTACCAAAATACTACTAAATTCTTGACACTTTATTCTATTCACTTGGAGTCGAGTAGTCAACAAAGTGTGCAAATCTTACGAAACTGCTTGATCGAAATGTCATCCCTTTACTTCTATTGGGTTTGACTTCAGTTGTTTTAATGGGAATTTTTTTTAGTTTTAAATTTAATGTGTGAATATCGAAACCATTCATTTTTGATATTTCTAAATGATTTAAAGAAAGTCCACTTGGAATAATAAAATCACCGCCATTCTGCCAAAACCTCGCCTGAAGAAAAAAGCCGTAACTTCAATGCCTCAATAAGTTACGATTCTGTTCGCGCGTTAATCAGACCAGTATTTTGACCGCCTTTCCTATAAATTCAGAGTATAATTAGGTCTGATTCATATAAACTATTATTAAAGATATAAAGATTTGTATTGGTTGCCAGCGAGCATAAAATATAAACTTTTAGCATACGGTGCTCTACAAATTTAACCTTAATAAATAAGAAGCAATGGTATTCTTTATAAAATAACATACTGCAATATAACTAGCATTGAAACACTCTGGAGCTGTTTTGACAAGATCATATTCATTATTTCATCAATTAAATCATCCCCATCAGCAAGATCCCTCACATATTTATGCAAATCGGCTAATGCAACTAATCAGGAACATTTTTCATCGATATTTGCGGATGAGTTTGTTTTCCTTATGGGAAGTGGTTGTGGTATTACTTCCGGAGTTATGTAATTTGTTGAATTGCGCAATACTGGTATTTCAGAATACACAACATTGCGGTTGTTTGTGTGACTCATTCCTAATGTATACATACACAATGGTCCCACAATTATTATAATTACCAGTAATGATAAGAATAAAACTAGCAATGAAATGGTCACCAAACTAAATTCAGTCAGTTCCAAAGAGCTCAGTTCTATCAATTCTATACCAATTAGATGATAATTGGTCACCTAACTCATTGACAATCAATATGCCAACTTCATACAACTTTTCAGTAAAATTAAATTCTGCCATTTCTGGTATGTTAATATTTAATTCTGTTTCTTCAATTTCTTTGTATTCATTTTGTTCGTAGTGTCCAACTATCCAACATGTTTGGTTTTCTTTAATTGGAACAAGAGAATCGTGAATACTTTCAATACTGTCTCTGCAATCACCTGAATGGTCCAGTTGACTAAGCACTACAATATACAGAAAACTAATTGTTTCAGTGTTTTCAATTGTCGGTTGTAAAATGCTAAAATTGTCGCAGTTCATCTGTTACACATAAACCGAAGAAGTAAATGATGGTTGAAGAATAGGACAGATAAACTTATCACTCAACAATTTGGAACTATATAATGAGTTAATCGTTTTTATTGTTGCTGTGGGTTGGTAGTTGTCAGGTTCACAATTGAGTCTGAAAAAACAACATTTCACATAATAATTAATATTTTCAAGTAAATTATAATTTTATTTTGTATCTTTACTTACTTAGTAAGTGTAAGTCAAATTCTCTAAACCTTTATGAAAAAACTTTTCACCATTAACACTGATTTCAAATCCCAGAAGAGGCCCATTTGTTTTATTCGGATGTACCCAATGCAAGTGTAGAAATCGGGTTGCGTTGCCAGAAGCGATTAGGTATTGAGGGGTTACGGAACAGTGTATTATCAAAGGAAAGATTTTGCTATTCTCTCATATTTTTTGCCACTGTTAACTTTTAGTAATGTTGTTTCGCTTAATACAGTTTCTGGTTCATTGTAAGGTATTTCCTGATTCTGGGCAGCTATTGATATTGACATAAACTGATAGACTTAAAATATAGCAAAAAATATACAATATCAATATTGAAATACAATGGTAGTACGAGAGGGTGAGTATAAGCTAAGTAAAGTTAAGTAAACACTTACTGTACGCTATACCCTCACAATATCGCCGAAACGATATTTTACTAAACCACTGCAAGTCAATGCAAGTATTTGTCAAGCCTGATGTGGATAGACTTGGAAAAACCAAAGAGATCTTTTTTGTAGAGGGTATATTTTGCATTAGAATATGTCTTTGTCGAAGCTGTTTATTTACTTTGGAGATAAAAAATTAAATTCAAAACGTCAGAATATCCCATGTTATTTAAATGGAAAAAGTGTCATGATTCCGCCACGGTTTAAATTAAAAATTAAGAGCTACTTTACGTTGGATCATATATTTTAGAGCTAAAACTAAAACTTCAGAGGGCGGCAACAAAAAAATCAATGTGGGAAATAATGGACACACTAAAGACCACTGGCTTATGCCGAACACATCCAATTGAAGCAAATTATTGAGGAACAAATCGGTCAAGGAATTATTACAGAGGGCTCCTCCGAATACGCAAGTCCAGTTGTTCTTTTGAAAAAGAAACACGGGAGCCTCCGCTTATGCATCGGTATTCATTGCCTAGGATTCAAGACAAAATAGATGCATTGAAGGCGGCAAAGTTCTATTGCACTTTGGACATGAAGTCAGGTTTTCACCAAATGCTTGTCGAGAAAGAATCAAGACACTGGCGTTTGTCACACCAGATGGTCATTATGAATACGATAGAATGTCGTATGGATTTGTGAATTCACCAGCCTGTTATGACAGGGCAATTGACATAGCTTTAGGCAAACTGAAGGATACAATCGTAAATGTATACTTAGATGACATTTTGGTACCGAGTGTAACAATTGAAGAAGGACTTGAAAAACTAGAGATAGTCACAACAACACTTGCAAGAGCCGGTTTTGTTTTAAATCTGGAGAAGTGTAAATATTTTAAGACGTTTTAACAAGAAAATAATATTGAGTTGTATCTCATAGCTGCAGGCATATCGAGGGGCAACGGACAAGTCGAACGAGTTATGAGAAGTTTGTTTAACATGATGCGCGCCGTTCTCAACGAACGCGATGAAAAACAATGGATCAATGAATTACCGAAAATCGAACAAGACATGAACACATTTGTGAATAAAACTACTGGTAGAAGTCCACATGAATTAATGTTTGAAGCAAAAAGACGATTAACTGCAGTGCAGGATATGTTAAAAGATGTACCCGAACAAACAAATACTAATTTAGATGAATTTTAGGCTTTAGATGTCATCCGTAAAATGGCGGAAATTCGACAGAAAACAATTAGAAGCTTTGATAAAAAAAGAACTGTTGCTAAAGTGTTTGCTACTGGTGACCTAGTATTAGTAGAGGAAACCCAATGCGGTGTTTACCCAATGAAAGGTATGTACTGAAAATGGTAAATGGACAAATGTGGATCACTGTTGCTGGTCAAGATCAAATGAGACTATAGCCGCATGAGAAGGCTTAGGCAGATGCAGCTGACTGGATGACAAGAACAAAAAGGAGCTTTAGCTGGTTGATACTAGCGAAAAAACGAGCCTTAAGTGGCTGATAAAAACAAAAAAGGGGCTTTAACTGGCTGATAACAAAAAAAATTTAAAAAAAGGGGAAAATCTTGGGGAACAATTGGGCGTCCCTCCTTAAACAGTATAAATATGAAAACTTATAGCGGTTGCGATTGTTTCAGAAAACAAAGATGAGCTACAGATCTGATCAATATACTACTCTGAACTGAGTTACAGTAGGAGGTTAAAAACAAAAGATGGTCCGAGGACGAACCAAGAGCGAGAAGGCCGTGTAAGGTTGCGTATATGACCATGCACCAACAACATGCAGAACACCCTGTGGATATGGAGTCACATCATCGATGGGGGGTTTTTTTGTTTATGTCAGCGACTTGCGTCTCCTAAGAAACATCACTGACTCCTGCTCCGGCATTCGTTGTAAACTGTTCACAATTAATCCGATCGCTCTGTATTAATGGATAAAAGTAGTAAAACCGAAACAACATTTTGTAATTCTAACATATATACCATTTTGTTTTCAAACCTTTATTAGATTGACATTTAAAAAATTAACATTACAATAGCGCAAATTACGGTTTTAAGTACGCGGTATAGGTGTACAACTAGTGTTGGCTTGTTAACTACACGAATTTGAATTAAGCACGTGTCCACTAGTCAAATAAACCCTATAAATACGGCAATTGATACATACAAAACTCAGTTCAT